GTACGGCCCAAGTCTTAATTCGTCTAATTTTTTCTGTTTAAGCAATTTCTGTTTTCAAAGTATATTAACTGCCTAAAAAGGCAGCAGCGAACCAGAAACAGATAGAATTTTTCTTGGATGATCGGTTTTTCCAGTTTTTCTATTTCATCTATATATCCGAGGATAGTGTAAGCAGTGCTTTCGGAGATGGTCTTAAATTAAGCTCTTAATATTAGTACTTAATATTAGAATACAGCATTATGCAATAAACGTTCTAATTTGTTGTTTGAAAATTTTAAAATGTATTGTAAAATATGAATATTTTTTATCTATCTTTCCGCACTGCCCAGGAGAAAAATGGATGGGTTTCATGTTAAGTAATGACTTTTGATATGTACAATTTTTTTTATGTTTTACGTTTATTCGAATTAATGTTACAAACAATCGCTATGACTACTTAGCTAATAACATACATAAAGATAATAGTATTTCAATAAATCGAAAAATATTTTAATTCATTATTAAGTATAAAGCTCTTCATGTTTTGGACTTTCTTAATGGTAATATTATTATACAGCAATGTAAACTTCACCATTTGTTATATTAATATCTCTTCCTACTTTAATAAATATATTATTTTTATTTTTGTAACTTGATAAGGCTACGTAGTATTGACCGTAAAAGAATACTGATTTTCGCAAGTTTAAATCAACATTATCAACTTCGACTTTGAGATATATTGATAGTCATAGCAAATGTCGCAACTATTAAGAATTGCTTACGATATTAAAAAAAAGTAGTAAATAGGTGTTTCCAGTATTCAAAGTTATTCCTGGAGTAAAAACTTAATGTCCAATTTTTTCTCCAGTTATTATTTCTCCTTTTTTGTTGTATTTCAATAATTTAGTAACTCTTAATCACGTACCATTACATAAACTGTCTGAAATACTCAAATTTCTAAATAGCATTACTATTATACTTATTTGTAAACTGAATTTATGAAGTTGTAAACCTCTACGAATACTACGTCACATATCTATTGAAAAATTGTTATAAATGTTATTGTCTGACTAATTAACCCCTTTAAACGTTAGGTTATATTTGCTGTAACATATTTCAGTTTCTCCAGTTAATTTAAAAAAAAATTTTTTATTTAGGAAATTGATATACTTATTATGTGATGTAAGTATAAAACTATTGACCGAATTTTAATCATCAAATATTTTAGTACATACATTATATTTACAAGAGTCAGCACATTCCTTAAAGTAAAGCAACGATTATTTTGGCGAAGCGCGCAAGAGGCGGTGCCCCACAAGTATATATATAATGTGTAAAAAATAACAATAATGAGCAAATAACAGAAAAATGTTATTAATAATATTATAATGAAAATAACAAGCAACAACATATGTACAAGTAAACTTACGTGTGTAAAATAGCCAGCTTAAGGGCAGCCCAGATATGGTTAAGGCTTCCTACCATATTAATAAGGTTGCGTTGATGGTTACAATTTTATAACTGATCTGATTTTTTACTTTTCTTTTTCATATTTCCATGAGTCATGCCAGAATGCAACCATATTCATTTCTTGTAGATTCAGAAATGTGCATCTACTCTTTTTCTAATACATGAACTTTCCAAATCAATTGATTATTGTAAATAAAGTAAAATATCTGTTGATTAGTAGAATAAGAAGCTAATTTAAGCAAAGTTATATCTTATGCCTAATTTTTTTAGATAATTTTGTTAGCGCCCGTAACTTTTTTTAATATAAAATGCGAAAAAAAAGTATAGGCGCATTCTTTTATTTACAAGAAATGCATGTAGTTTTATTTTAGCGAGACAAAATACTTAAAATTATGCTTGCTTTCACGGGATTTGAAAAAAAATTTTTTTTAATAAAAGCCACCCACCCCGCACGTCACTACCCCTTGCCGCCCCGCGGCGCCCCTCAGATTTTTTGTGCCACCCCGCCCTATAAGTATAGTGACTGACGGCTTTTGAACGCAAGAGGGCAGCAGGGAGCTAAGACTCCAGCCAATAACAATAAACAGCGCTATTTTCAAAACTGTCCACCACACAATCAATTTTTTCTTTTTTTTTTTTAATTCAACGCCACTACCAATTTCTTTCTAATTACAAAGGTAGTTGGAAATTTTAATCCTTTTTTAGAAAAAGATCCAGTCACTAAACAATTGAGAGACATTTTTCTATTTAATGTTGTGTTATTCTAAAAAAGTTATTTTGGCACGTAGCAGACAGTGAGCAGAAGGTAAACATCATGTATATAAATATACAAAATGTATAATTTATCTTCTTTGATCTTATTGCCTAGAGTCTTGTCTTCCTGACGCCATCTGAGCCAAGCTTGCTTGGTCGCTATCCCGGTAGTGGCAGACATGTTAAAAATATCTATGATACTTACGTCTAATAAGTATGTTGATAGAAGTTGAAAGGATGATTATATATATATATATATTGTGATTAATCTTGTATCAAGTTGGGGAAAGACTGGATTAGTTATTTTTAAATTTTCATAAACATACAATCCTACTCATTGTTCTGATACTGCTAATAAACAATAATTAGATAATAAAAAATATTGTTAACTAGATGACAAGAAAGATTGGAATACACACATTATTGTACGCTACATTGAGGGATATAGCGTTACGTGGCAATTTCTGTGGAAGCTGCTTCAGCTGCATATTACTGCAGTCGACACTTACGGCAAATGTTGGCATTTTATCTTTAAGTAGTTCTAGTCTGCTGAACTCACAAATGCACTGCCAACTGTCACCTCTAGGACATTCAGTTTGTAGCTGCAACGAAATAAAACCCACCAAAATTTCTCGTAAGATGAAAATAAGCGTACAGATGAAAAAATAAAAGTTTTATTAAAAAATTAGTATAAATACATTTATTAATTTAAATTAACTCACAGAACTTAGGTAGCGCACTTGTTTCAAAGGAACTTGTGCGGTGGCATTAAACCAATGCCAAGTTTTGCTCGATGAACAAACAGTCTCGTTCTCTCGATTAAAAACTATTTGATTCTCTGCAGTTTTGTTAATATTTTGATAAATATCATGGCACAATAAGGTACTTGATCCTGTAAAAATAATACAAATAAGAAATGCAGTAATTTTCTACTAACAAAGATTGTTTCTAACCTTAAATTTTTATTTTAAACAACTAATATTTCATCTACTAATACATAACATAAGGACAACGTGAAATGAAAGAGAAAACTTCCAAAACAAACATCAAATATGGATAATGCAATTTGTCTGACCCCCGAATTAGTCTTGAAGTCACTCTTCTTTTTTTAGTATCATGCTCTTTATATTTACAAATTCGTGCTAATAGTTTAAAGTCCCATCGACTGTGATGCAAGCAAAAACACTGTCTGTTTGTGTGCAAACGAGAAGAACTGTGAAGCTGGTGTGCAACATGAGATCTAAATATATATGAGATAATCTACGTCAAGTTAGACGGTCGATGAAAATCTGTTGTCGAAACATATGCCAATTAATAGTCCGTAAAAAATTTATACCGTAATGTTTTTTAACTTTTTCACCTACACAATTTTTTACGATACATTACAAGGTCTACTTGCAACAATTTTTTTGTATCGAGTTTCCTCAAGTGTNGTTATATTAATATCTCTTCCTACTTTAATAAATATATTATTTTTATTTTTGTAACTTGATAAGGCTACGTAGTATTGACCGTAAAAGAATACTGATTTTCGCAAGTTTAAATCAACATTATCAACTTCGACTTTGAGATATATTGATAGTCATAGCAAATGTCGCAACTATTAAGAATTGCTTACGATATTAAAAAAAAGTAGTAAATAGGTGTTTCCAGTATTCAAAGTTATTCCTGGAGTAAAAACTTAATGTCCAATTTTTTCTCCAGTTATTATTTCTCCTTTTTTGTTGTATTTCAATAATTTAGTAACTCTTAATCACGTACCATTACATAAACTGTCTGAAATACTCAAATTTCTAAATAGCATTACTATTATACTTATTTGTAAACTGAATTTATGAAGTTGTAAACCTCTACGAATACTACGTCACATATCTATTGAAAAATTGTTATAAATGTTATTGTCTGACTAATTAACCCCTTTAAACGTTAGGTTATATTTGCTGTAACATATTTCAGTTTCTCCAGTTAATTTAAAAAAAAATTTTTTATTTAGGAAATTGATATACTTATTATGTGATGTAAGTATAAAACTATTGACCGAATTTTAATCATCAAATATTTTAGTACATACATTATATTTACAAGAGTCAGCACATTCCTTAAAGTAAAGCAACGATTATTTTGATGATTAATAAAATAAGACGTCTTCCGACTCACGGGGGAAAAAGTCGACTGATCACAATTTCTTGCACAAATATTATATTAATAGCACAAGGAAGATATTCAGCCCTCAGTATCATTTTAACATTACCAATGGAACCTATTACGAAAGCTCATTTGATAAGCGTGCTTAGATGTTTGCTACGCGTTGCACTAATTAGTGAACCACACATTCGTACTATGTGTGGTAGCGCCTGGAGTAGTAATTTTTAATCATTATTATTTTCTTGTTGTACATTGTCGAACAAAAACCGTGAGTGACATATTTAAACGTGGTCTTTTTAATAATACAGTCGTTCACGAAACTGTTGTAAAAGCTGTTCAGAAGTTTGTCGATCATAATCACCCATTGGCAAAACATATCGTGCGCTGTTACCGTAAACATACCTTAAAATTTTTGCTTTTGTTTACTTTCAATCATTAAAGATTTAGTTATACCTAGTGATAAGGCAATGCATGATATTACACTTGGAGACGAATTACTTTTCAATGTTGATACAATTACGGAATATACACCGATCACTGTGAGTGGTAAGCAAACTGTATTACTATCCTAATTGATCAAGCACAATTTTTACATTTTGACTTGCAGAGGAAAATCCACAACCATCGACTAGCTGTTTAACTCGACCAATATACGAAGACATTAGTGATGATAATGAAGAACATTCCGATACGGAAGAAGCAAGCGGAAAAGAAGATTGTGATGACGTTAAATACAGTAGTAGTAGTTTTTTTTTTTTTTTTTTTCTTTTTGTGGAGGGAGGGTAAATGCATTGTGGCATACCGCAGGGACAGCGGTAGTGTTGTACACGTACATTAGGCATCAGGTATACACCCACATGGANATATGTGTATAAAATTGTCCTTTATATATATAAAAACTTGTAATGCTTCACTCACCTTCGCGCTGCACTTCCTAACCTCCTGATACTCTAACATAAATAAAAAGTTTTTCTATTCCGTTTTGTAAAATAGAAACAAATGTAAAATTGGGGCTTGAGATTTTAAAAACTGACGATTTCAGATTAATGACATTAAGAAAATATGTGTCCGAAGTAAATTTTTGATTTTATCTCGCTGACTCTAGCGCGCTACTCCACACCACCAAAGCACATATGCAAAGAAAGAAAATTATTAAATTTTGATTTTCATTTGATTTATACATTTAATTCTCGAAAAAAAAAACAAAAAAAAAACGCTTTTTCATGAATCGAACCAGCGATCTTCTGCAGACTAACTAAGTACCCTATCCACTCTGCTACGAGCGACCCCTATTATAAATTAACCTCTTTCTTCTTGTTCTAGTGTGGTTTCGTAACTTACCTCTAGTTTTGAAATTTATTTACTGTTTATAAGTGAATTAGATTCGATTATACATTATATCAATTTATAAATTATTGATTCGATTAACTATTTTCTTATAACTATTATATAACTAAATAGTACTTTCCAAAAGTCAGAAATCAATGTTTTTCCAAACTTCCTCATCCTTCGACGTATACGTGTTATAAAAAAAATTATGTATGAACAATTGATAGTGAAACAAAATTAAGTTTTTTACAACTGTAATTGTGATACTATAAATCTTCAAACAATAGAATACAATGATAAGATTGGTGTATTACAATTTTTTTTAAATAATTTTTTTTAAACATGTATACATGGCTATTATATTTACACTGAATTTTTTTTTAAAGTGTAAGTAATTATAAATGTTCTACAATGATTAAAAAAAAACTTTTTTTGACGAAAAAATTAATTACAAAATAAGAATATGTCGTGTCATGATTTATAATTGAATAATAGACCGATGATTAATAGAATAACTTTTAAGTCAATGTGAGAAGTCATGTCCCTGCAAATATGCATACATTAGAATTTTTCGTTAAAGTACGATTTATTTTATTTCTTTCCAAAAAATATTTTTGATTTGTAAATTATTTTTTTTTAACTTTAATAAATATATTATTTTTATTTTTG